GAGCAGAGAAAAACAAAAAAAGCCATAATGCTGAAAATATTATTTAATTAAAAAAAGAAAGCATAAAGTACAGAAAAATGCACAAGTATTAGAAAAAATACACTAATATAATAACAAATATCAAAATATTTATATTTTTAAAAAAAATAGACGAAAATAAGAAAAATTAGCTAAGAACAAAATATTAGGCAAAAAAAAAATCACATTCATTAGAAAAAAAATAGAAGAACTTACAAATAGGAGTAAACTACAAAAAAAAAAATTAACATTCACAAATATTTGGTTGTTTGCTTTTGTAAAGTTTTAATGGGAATTTCTAATATGCAAAGTATGATTTTCTTTCCCATTTAAAGTAAACATTCAAAAGGTGAGTGCGGTCGCGGCCTCTTGCATAAGGGCCATTCTTAAATTAACGTCCTCCATTTAGTTTTGGCGCAGGAAGTGACACACGGGGCGGCGTTTGATGTGTCTCTCTCTTGGAAAGAAACCGACTGAGCGCTGAACTCTTCATGTCACTGAGAGTTACCTCATTGTCCTCTAGAGGATGGGGAGGAGGAGGGGGGTCGGCATCTGTTCAAACAAGAGCAATGCAGAAAAGAATCTTCGGGGTGGGGGGAAGAATAACAGTTGGAGTAATTTGTCTGGAAGAAAAGGGTAAAACGGTTCAAGCGCATTTTTTTTGTGTTTGCTCGGCAGAGCAACACTGACGCCTTTTCTTTTACGCCGGTGCAACATTTTGCACGTCACTACAGTGAACAATTCGTGGATCAATTCTTCGTTCCATTTTCAATTGGCAGCAAAAAAATAGACCAATGTGAATGAAAAAGGTGCCGACAAAATGCTTGTCAGCTGCCACGATGCACGTTTTATAAAACAAACCACAAATAAATAATCGATCACTTTCTAAATTTTCGAATTTTGAGTGATGGAGTGTCCATTAATTGGTGAATTTTGGTTTATTGCATCAGGGTTACTCACTGTATCCCCGACACAATTCACACACTGCACAGCAAGGCGACTTTATCCCACAGCGGGTAAATGATTTTTTTGGAATAAGGGTTTATGAATCCCGGTCCTTGTTTTCAACAAGTCCACCCTTCAGGCTTTGGCGGCGAATTTTGACCTCACCACAAAATGTCCATTCATGAGAAAGACAGACAATATCGACTGAATCGGCCAAATGGTGCCTACTCGCTGGCAATGGCACCTCAGCAATTCGCTAGAAAGCCACATGCTGATTTTATTTTGGTCTGATTTTTATTTCCATTCCTGCTGGTTGATAGGTCTTTCAGCTGAAGCTGGTTTTCAGTGACTTTTTGCGGACCAACGACTTTAGGCTACTACATTAGCTTCTCATGCTAGCTGAAAGATACCTAGCTGCTAGCTTGAGAGCCACAGACCCATTTAATAGTGACTTTTTGGTCCTGTTTTAGTTGGCATCGATTGAACTCTCAGCCAGAGCTGGTTTTCAACAACGTTTTGTGAACAAATGACTTTGGATGACTATCTTAGCGTTTTGTGCTCATTGACAACTACCTAGGCACTCATTAGAATAGTCGCAGGCTGAATTTATTCTGGTATTTTGATTGTGCTTTTGTTCACATTCCTATTGGTTTGAGATGACTTTCAGCTGGAGCTGGTATTTAGTTTTTGTGTGTGTGTCTGTGTGTGTGTGTGTGTGTGTGTGTGTGTGTGTGTGTGTGTGTGTGTGCGTGTGTGTGTGGGTGTGTGTGTGTGT